AAAGTTTTTGACCGAAGAGGGCTGATCGGACAACGAAGAAGAGGAAGACCAAGACTTAGGTACCAAGACAACATAGAAAATGATTTGAAGTCTATTAGAATTGGAGCACGGAGAAGAGTGACCAGAGACAGGGGCAAATGGAGGATTGTTCTGAAGAAGGCTTTGGTTCATAAAGAGCTGTAACGCCACTGATGATGATAACAGAATTACCCAGAAATAACAAAGAGGAATGGACAACAGAAGACACTGAGAAGACATTACAATTAATTGACAAATGAAAAGAATCCAAAAAAAATATGACAAGGACAGAGAATACAAAAGACTTAATAGAATAATTCTAAAAAAAATAAGCGAGGCAAAAGAGAAATGGTTGGAAATATACGTCAAAATTAAAGTACTGTAACAAAATCATAATTTTTTTAATTTAAATGAAAAGGTAAAAGAGTTTCGTTATCCACTAATAAGAGACTAACCTTACACACCATGCTGAACACCAATGGCCAACTACTAGAATTTACCGATAGAAAAACTGAAAAAATGGTAAGACTATATCAAAATACTATTTAGTATATACGGCATACGAGAAAAACCCAAGAACAACGAAGTATCAAAAATTCTGAAAATCAAAAATATAAATGTCAATAATCAATTCAAAATAAATAAGAGCCCAGGTCCAGATAGAATATACTCAAAAACGTTAAAATTAATCAGCGAAGAAAACATCGTAATATTTGTTCTTTCATTCCATGGAATTTATGGTACCGGAAAAATACCCGAACTGGCTTAAATTAATACTCATCCCACTACCAAAGAAACCAAACATACATCACTGTAACGAGTTTCATCTGCTAACCCTTATGAGTTATGCAGTAAAAGTCCTAATGTGGTACCTAATCTAATCCATAAAAAGGGTGAAACAATCATCGGAGGCGATCAGGTTAGGTTCAGAGCCAGGATGGGTACGTGGAAACCCTGTTCGGCTTAATACTTCTTCTCCCAAAAATACTACTCCCAAAAGATACATGCTTCATAGACTTCGAAAAAGCATTAGATAGATTAGGTTAGGTTAGGTTAGATAAGGTAAGCATTTGATAAGGTAAGACACGACCTACTATCAGAACTTTTGCACGAAGTAGGTTTAGTTGAAAACTCTTACTAAAAAAACTTTCACTGAAACCAAATTGCCAGAGTTAGGCTCGATGTTCCAAGTCCTCAGAAGTAAAAATTAGAAGAGGAGTTAGACAATGATGTGTTTTGTCGTTCCTGCTATTTAATCTTTATTCCCAGTTTCTATTTAAAGAGGCGCTGCAGGAAACCAATAATGGAGGCAAGGTGAATGGCGCAAAAATTAACAGGATCATCAGCAGATTTCGACTTGGGTGTACAACATTTTATGGACAGTGTCATGATGATGTCATTTGGATGTTGGCATTTGCTAGAAATTGCCTATTGAATAATAAAGGACAGGTGTATCAACCGTCAACTTAGAACGATGTCTTGTTTTATTTCATTTATAATAATTAATTAATTAATACAAAATAAAGTAAGTAAGCACACAAATATTATATGGCGCAGTCAGTAGGATCACGTAGGATCACAAGCCTCTTGTTGGAGTTTTTAACAAGCCTCTAGTAGATGCTCCAGCTAGACTTCAAAGAATGCTTGTCATGTTACAACCATATAGTTTAACTATTGTTTATAAGAAAGGTAGGGATATGTTTTTTGCTGATGCTTTAAGTAGGGCTTTTCCAAAATCATATGATGAAATATTTGAAAATAAATTCAGAGAAATTGAATCACAGCTTTTGAGCATTACAGAGAATTTCCCAATTTCAAATTGTAAAATTAGAGAGTTTCAAAAACAAACTGCAGAAGACCCTCATTTAATACAACTCATGAAATTAATTACAGAGGGATTCCCTGATAGTAAATACATAAAGAAAGAATTTCAAAAATATTTGCCATTTAAAGATGAACTAAGTATGGTTCAAGGTATAATTGTAAAAAATAATAAATTGTTTGTACATAAACTACTAAGGGAAGAAACCCTGGATAAGTTACATATGTCACACCAAGGAATTCAGAAAACAAAATGTTTAACTAGGCAATATTTTTTTGGACAGGAATGTCACAAGATATAAAAAATGTTGTGAAGTGTTGCAATGTTTGCCTATCAGAGAGAAAATGTGATCAGAAAGAACCTTTAATGCCTCACACCAATCCTGACCTCCCTTGGGATAAAGTCGGAATTGATTTATTTGTTTTTAATTCACAATATTATATCTTAGTGGTTGACTATTATTCAAAATTTGTGGAAATGTCTGCTTTAACGTCACAAACTAGTAATAGAGTAATACATTTCTTAAAACAAATTTTTTGCAGGCATGGAATCCCTACAGTTGTCTTTTCTGATAACGGTGCTTGCTTTTCTTCTATGGAGTTCAGTCGTTTTGCTGCAGAATGGGGGTTTTCTCATAAAACATCTAGTCCCCATTTTCCTCAATCCAATGGTCAGGTAGAAAGATTTGTACAAATTGCAAAGTCAATGTTAAAAAAGGCATTCAAATCTAATAAAGATCCTTATTTGTGTCTACCAGATCTAATGAATATACCAATATCAGATAAAGTTCCAAGTCCTGCTGAATTGCTATATAGTCGCAAAGTTAGAACAACTTTTTCTGTGTTGAAATCAAATTTGAGACCACAAGTGGTAAAAAACAATGTACGAAAGGAATTAACAGAAAGACAAAATAAGTATAAAAAGTATTATGATAAAAATACTAAAGAATTGCCTGTATTAAAAATTAATGAGTAAGTTAAAGTAAAAAATTTTAATGAATTTAGCAAAGAAAAATGGCTAGATGGTATAGTAGTTGAATAACTGTCTAATCCGAGATCATATAAAATAAGATTATGTGGAACCAATAATATTGTAGTAAGAAATAGAGCTCACCTAATAAAAGTAGAGTTGAAAAATGTAAATTAAGGTGAAGCTTCATGTAGTTATAATCAGTTTCAATATGATAATGCACCTTCTGCAAATATTACACACATATGTGACACTTTTGAAAATTCATTAAATTCAAGTGTAAGTTCTAATCACTATTCCAGCTCTGATACTGATTTATCAGATCAGGAAATAAATCATTCAACTGTAATGCCTGAGCATACACCTTATAGAACAAGATCTGGGCGAATTGTTAAACCTCCTATTAGACCTAATTTATAATGTGTAAACAATGTATTTTGTATTTTGGTAATAGTAATTAGCTTGTATATTCGGGTTAAACTTTAGTTATAGCGTATAAACTATATATACGTGTACATATAATGTGTGTTTGGGTGTATATGGTTTTATTATTGTATTAGCTTCTAAGTTCCTTTCCAGCAAATGTTGAAATCTTATCTTAGGAAGGGAGATGTCATGATGATGTCATTTGGATGTTGGCATTTGCTAGAAATTGCCTATTGAATAATAAAGGACAGGTGTGTCAACCGTCAACTTAAAACGATGTCTTGTTTTATTTCATTTATAATAATTAATTAATTAATACAAAATAAAAAAAGGAAGCACACAAATATTATAGACAGGATCAACTCGGTCTGCAATTTAGTATGAAAATAAACATTAGGAAAAACAAAGTCAATTCAAAAAAACTAAAATGTACCTCGACTAGCACAATAAATAGGTACATTCTAGAACAGATCAAAAAGTCTAGGATGTTGGATGTTGGAAGTCAGCTGTTTCTAAAGCTATAATTGCCATTTGGATTGCCAACTTTCGAAAGGAGACTTCGCAATAAAAAACAAATTCTTTACACTGACGCCTCAAAGATTGAAAGTGGTGTTGGATATTCTGTAATTACTGTACAACAGCCTATCGAACCCTAGAAAACTTCTCCTTGGTGTAGTATCTACATTGGTGAACTACTAGCTATTTTATATGCTTTTAAATATGCCCAGCAAAATCCAAATACACACATAGACATATTATGCACTGATTTAATTTCCTCCGTACGCTCCATTACTGCTATATTCGCCAATCATGCTCTCTTTCAATATATTCATGACATATATTGGCTTTTTATTAACCAAAATAGAACAGTCACTTTGATATGGGTACCATCCCATGTCATGATTAGTGGTAACGACAAAGCCGATTACCTTGACAAAAAATACGCATCATCCATGGACACCATTGTCAATATATAAATCTGCAACGACTGAAGAAGCTTAATTTATCCTCTTGGTAGATTTACTGTAATAAAGTTGCTTTAGGTCTCCATGAAATGAAACTCTTAGTGAAACTATTTACCTACTATAGTTTGTTTTGAGAAAATCATCTAGAGATTGCGTATAGGACATATCCTCTAATAAATGGCTATATAATGACATCATCTCCACCACAACCAAAATGTTAGCACTATATTACGACACTTAGAATTAGACATATACTCATCAAATGTCCTTTTTATGCCAAAGTACGTCAATAGCCCAGTATCAGTACTATTTTCAAAGAGATCGTAAGCAGTAGAGACCTAATCAACAAGGTGATCAAATTTCTCGAGAAAAATTAACTGCTAAGCAAAATACAAATATGATGTTATATGTTTTTCTTGTTTTTTCTCTTATGTTAAATGTAAACTATATTATTTTGTAATTAACTATATCACATTACCCTGTAAACCGCAAGTTGTATCTTGTGCTATTTACCATAGATGCCACACGCACGTTAACTCAAATAAAAAAATATTGTTTAATATTTCTGAAATGATATTTTAAAATACTCCACATTAGGTAAAATTTTGATATCAAAGATTTACTGTTTCAAAAATTATACTATACATTAATTTCGTTTTAAATTCTTACAACTTGGGATAAGGCTATTTAAGGCTTCTTTTTAATGGCAATAACTCTTTGTATGAACCTATAATTGATTTTCTGGTTATTTGTGCAGTGCAAATAAAATTAAAAGAGACTAAAGTCTAAATTTTACTCACCTTTTGGAGGATTAATAGGAATAGCTGATCTGTACAAGGCCTCCTCGCTATGCCAGTCTTTATTCCTAAAAACAGTCTTTGCACTAAACGCCACTGATACTAACACTAATCCGCACAAAAAAAGAGGTCTTTGTCTTTTATAACATTCCCAGAGAGTTCCACTGGCTAATCCTAACAACAGACATAACCCGGCACTTGGAAGATATAACACTCTTTCAGCAACTACGAAACCGACATAAAATAAAATGTTAGTTGCTGGAAGAAAAGGAAGAGCCAGAAATGCGAACGAAAGGACGATAGCAGAATTTGAATTATGCTGCCTCTTTTCCGTTCTTAAAACCACTAATGGTCTGCAAAAATTATAGCAAACACATAAAGATGATGAGAAATTAGTAGTGTTGTTGTTATTACTGGTTCTACAAGAAGAGGAATGTATATCTGAGCAGTTTATGTGGCAAACGGTACAACAATTATTGTCTTCTTTATCTCTCACTCCTCTTCTATCTTTCTTTCGAATTCTGCTTAAACTCTTTCTTAATATATGAGCCAAACCATAATAAAACACTAAACTTATTACGTTTCTACTATCCCTTATCGTCGTTATTCTGGGTACGGCTTCCATACCCCAATCGAAACTAAGATGGTTGGGAAATATAAGCAGCCAAAAATTGAATACAGGTAAATAGCAAAACGTGAAAAATCTTGTTATCAATTCCGTTTCTCTGGCTGTTGGGTTGTCTGCACTGGAGAAATGGGGTGTGCGGGATTGCAATCTGGCAGCAAGTATGATTGACAGAGCTGAAGCGAGAATCAATAAACTCCGAGCTTGTTTCTGAAACAAAAGAAAAATATATGAATACATTTTTATTTTTGTTTTTTTGTTTTAACATACTACTAAAGTTTTTATTAAACTAATCATAAAACTGGTTAATATAACCAGAATTAAAACTTATTAGAAAAAATATAATGTTATTGCATTACATGCAATATACATAATAATACAAAAAATTTGACGATGGAACTAGAAAAGCTAAAAATCAAGTGGAAAAAAATACATACAAAAATACAAATTCAAAAATATCGTTAAAAATCTAGCCCCCTTCTTAATCTTTACGTGATTCAATGTACTACCTTTCCACCTTAATAATAACCTAGATATTACAGGGATATTCAGTTTTGTTTAGTTCTCTGCTTCTATTCGGGGCAGTACTGCGAGTATCCATTTGATACTGAGCTTCTAAATACAAAGCTTTTAAACACAAAAACAAAGCAAAAAGCTCAGTCAACTCAAAACTACAAAACTAGATCATACAAAGCAAGGACTTATATCACAGGAACAGCAAAAGTCAAAGTATATAAAGCCACAAATATTTGTAGCATATACACAGAAAATTGTTTAGATCACAGTCTAAAAACAAAAAGAATATTTTAGCATAAACTGGTTCCGCCAAAAAGTATTTAAATTTTAAATTTAAACATCATTTTAGCAAAAAAACGGAGATATACCGTTTGACAGAATATCGGGTTTTTCTAAGAAAATAATGACTGTCTGTTTTTCATTGTGCCACCAGTAAGCTGTCGTTCCATCGTTTTCATGGTCTTCCTACTGATCGTATTTCTATTGGGAAACCTTCTCTTGCCGTCTTTAATATTTGTTGTCCTTCGGCTTATATGATTGTTCCATTCTACTCTTCTATTTCTTATTCAGTTCTTGATGTTCTCCACCTTGCATCTACATCGTATATTTGTACTTTTAGCTCTGACCCATAGTGTCTTACCATCAACTTTTCATCTTTGCTATTTCAACATCCTTTTTGTTTATCTGTGTCAGGTCTTGTTTCTGCCGCGTATGTAATTATTGGTCTGATGACTGTTTTGTAAATTCTGTCTTTCGTTTCTTTCCCGATATTTTTATTTCTTCATATTGTTTTATTTGAGCAACCTGCGGCTCTGTTTGCTCTATTCACTTAATCTTCCACTTCCGTTTCGAACTTTCCGAAGCCAGATAATGTGATGCGTAGATATTTAAACTCCATAACTTGTTCCATTATCTTAGTGTATCTTCCAGCTCCAATTTACATCTTAATGAATTTGCTATTGTTACCATGCATTTTTTTTTTTTTTGGAAAATTATGATGTTAAATTTTCTGGCGGTTATATTAATTTGGTGCAGCATACGTTAAAAATCATCTTCACTTTGAGAAAGTAGTACAGCGTATTTTTTTATTCAATAGTATAAGTAACTCTTAAACAATATCCAGCTAAAATTTTAGCGCGATCGGAGCAAATGGATTTAGATCGAAATTGATGTAGTTATAGGCATTTATAATTAAGTAAGTTAAGCGAATGAGTGAGTAGGGTAAGTGACTGAGTGAGGTGAGTGATTGAGGTGAGCGATTAGATGAGTAAGTGAGTGAAGTGAGTGAGTGAGAGGTTAGTGAGATTGGTGAGTGAGTGAGATGAGTGAGTGAGGTGACTGAGCAGTCACATATAAATTGGAATAAGTACAGCGTCAAATACACTCGCAGTAGATAACAATTGAATTACTAAAGCGGATAAAATGGCTTCAGATGCAACCAAATGAGACAGAGTTCATCGAAAGCATTAGTCAAAATATGCTCTAGATATTTTAGCAAAAAGCACGTCGTTCCATGGGTCTGGAATAGACGATACTGTATGAGTATAAAAAAATAAGGTTTTAACGCCTTTTTTTTTTTCGGCATAACGTTTTTCTAGTCGGTACTAACCGTATCTTAAAATTGTTCTAAAGCTATTTTCTTGTGGCATTCTAAATAAATTACTATTTAACTCGGAATAAGCCACAATTAAAGATAAAAATACGTTTATTGACGTTTCAATTTTCACTTCGGAAATCGTTCTCAAAATACAAACTTTGTTTGCTTATTCCCAGTTAAATAGTAATTAACGTATCTTAAAAATTTAGAATTTATCTCCCATTAGAACATTTATGGGACATTTAGGGAACATGGCTTCAATACGGATGAACTAGCGACATCTAATTACAAAAATCGTAAAATAGTTTCGAAATACAATTCAGATTTTTGCTTTATAATCTGAGCCTTCTAAAAATTGTAAGGCAAACAGACGTTAATAAAAGATGTTAAAAGAGACATGCAGAATCTAAAATTTGCATTCCACGACATGTCTTTTACAACTAAGCAGAAATCCTTAGCGAATTGTGCTTCTAGTACTCACACAGAGTAAATCCGAATAAAATGAAAAAAGGCAGCAAATATTTGATTTCACGCAAACAAATCCTATGTATCTCTTGAAATATTTGTTTGCGTGAAATCAAATATTTGCTGCCTTTTTTCATTTTATTCGGATTTACTCTGTGTGAGTACTAGAAGCACAATTCGCTAAGGATTTCTGCTTAGTTGTAAAAGACATGTCGTGGAATGCAAATTTTAGATTCCCCATGTCTCTTTTAACATATTTTATCAACGTCTGTTTGCCTTGCAATTTTTAGAAGTCTCAGATTATAAAGCAGAAATCTGAATTGTGTTTCGAAACTATTTTACGATTTTTGTAATTAGATGTCGCTAGTGCGTCCGTATTGAAGCCATGTTATTGTTGCTTCTTAAAAGGCAGAAAATATTGATTTTTCACGTTGAGAACTCCTATTAATAGCTCTTCTGACGAGACCTATTAGGTCGAAATACGTATCAAGAGATACATAGGATTTGTTTGCGTGAAATCAAATATTTGCTGCCTTTTTTCATTTCAAATTATTATTATGTTTTTCTAGGCTAACTACCCCTTTTAGATTGATCTGGCCTATACGACCCGTTAGATGTCACATGCGAATGCAATTAAGCGTTTTTTTCCCTTATTTTTTTTTCTATAATTTTCGTGCTATGTTGACTTGTTACGTACCGGGGCTAACTGGTTAGCGATTGTGCTTGGGTATGTGGCTGATACATTGCAGTATTGCATTTTCTTGTCAAAGTACTAATAATTCTACAGTTTTCCATGAAAACATGACAACAGATTTATTTATTATTACTATCAAAAGAAAAATGTAAATAATAACTATGCTATATTTTATACAATAAATGTTATTCAATTCATTAAACGTGATCATAGTGCTTACATTTAGTAATTTCTAGGTGTTCACCAATATTATTAAAATAACAAATTTAGCTTAGGTGATCACTCATTTTTCCGTGTAAATAAAAAAAAATAAATAATACTTGAAATAATATGGCATTGGGTTTGTTTACTATAATGTGTCAGATATACGTGATTGTTATGTCAACAAACTGACTTTTACAAACATCATGAGAACAGTTTTATTTTGTTTGTCTATCTTAAACATATTACCTTTCTTTTTGCTACCGAATCAATATTGATAGTATAAAGAAGATTGTCTATTTAAATATTTGTAGAAAGCTCATTAAATTTGTATTGAAAATAAAGTGTTTTGTTATATTTTAGTTTTATTTCTATTGCCGATTTGAATTGTCAGACGCGAGAGAAAACTTATATGAAAAATTATGTTATTTTCGCTCCTTTAAAAGTTTTTTTCTAGTGGTAGGTGTAAGTATTTTTGGTTTTGTTAAGTTTGGTACAGAGCTGGGTAGTATCCTGATACTTTTTATGTATTCGAAAGCTGTATCCGGATACTTTTTAAATTTTTTATCCGGTATCCGTATCCGTGATCAAATTTTAAAGTATCCGGCATCCGGATACTTTTTTTCATATTCGAATACTTTTAAATATTTATCGCCCGCAACACTGCGATTCCTTCAATCTAGATGTATCTAATATGTTAAATCCCATTTTTCGTTTTTTTTCCCTATACTCCAAGATATACAGTTACCCAAAAATATGCGATGTGTCAAACATACTTTAAATTTAATAGCCACAACCGATTATACAAATCCTGTAACAAAAATTCCAGCGATACGAAAGAGAAATTATTATTGTCAATTATGGCAAAAATCAAATGCAAAACTCCACTTTTGATGCCGTTTCGCAGATTCTTAAAGCAAAAGAAAAACTTCCAATTTTGAAACAAAATTTAACGTTAGAATCTTTTAAGAAAACTAAACTGTCATACATAGAGAAATACTGTTAAGTTATGTATATTTTGGATATTTGTTACCCAGTTTAATTTCATTAACCCTGGAAGATCACACCGATTTTTTTTAACATATACCACACATATGGGTATCAGATACCCAATGATTTTTTGTGAAGAAACAAAAACAAAGTTAATATTTTATGATTTCCAGAGACTGTCTAATCAGTATTGAATACACAATAATAATTAAATCAATCATTTTATTTTCTCTCTCTTAATTGTAGTAATACAAAAGAAAAAAATATTAAAAATATTTTAAAATAATTAACAAACATTTTCTGAAAAGCCAGTAATATAATTCAAAATATTTTACCTTAATTTAACAACAATATGGTCTTTCTAACTAAAAGCTGACAACTTTTTATTATAGAACTCATATTTATACTTAGCCAGGAATTTCAATTTTACTCATTCTGGTGACTACATTCACAACACAGTTTAACTCTATGCCCCATGCAGTATGCTTTATGGCAAGCCTAGCATGCATGCTTTGTTTTTCTATCTGTTCCTTTGCAGAAATAACGTCTAGTTTGCTTTGCTAAACTTGTGGGATGTTGTGTTGAAAGGTCTTCAACTTGAAGAAAGCCACACATTGTTTGCCTGAGTGATTTCTCTAAAGAAGGTATTTAGGGTCTCTCTTGAAATAGTGGTTCAATTAAAGCCATTCCCAAAGACTTCAGAAATGATCTTCTATTACTAGATGCATTTTCTTTCCAATGAGGAGTTGCGAGAGAAAAGAGCACCATTGCATTTATACCAATTGCATCAAGCATATTAAAAAAAAATTCTAGTGGTCATCGTCTGTATCATCGTCAACGGTATTGGAGTTTTGTTCTTCGACATAATCCTCCTTAGATTCGGAATCAGTACCAAAGATATTTTGGCCATCATCCTCGTTGTTTTCATAAGCAAATACATTTTCAGCTTTCATTTCCAGGTCAGCTTGGGTCAACGGACAACGTTTTTTCCAGTTTTCTTTCTAACTACATGAAGCCATTTCCCAAAAAATGATTATAAAAAAGATTAATAAATTATCGCAAACCTCACACATGGGTGCTACATACCCTAGCGTTTATTAAAAAAATTTTCGTGATTGGAAATATTGCTCGAATGAGACAGCAACTACATATGCGTCCTTGGCAGACTACAGACTGAATTTACATGAAGCGGCATTACCATTGAAATGCGGTTGAGCATGCTACATTCAGTTAAGTGTCTGGATGGGTATCTCACACCCAAGTGTGAGATTCCAGGGTTAATTACTAAATATGAGAAACTTCTTGCCCAAACGAAATTAAAATATGGAGGAGAACATCTAGCAAAAATGTGCATTAAAAGCTTAAATACTCGTTTTGCAAACATTTTAAATTTGGAATGGGAAGATCCAATTGTAGCTGCAGTTCTTCTTCCTAGAAATAAGCTTAAGTGGTACAATGTCGTAAAAAATCGCAAAAAAACTATAGAAGATATAAAAATATTGCATTATAACTGTTGAAAAAACAAAAATGGAATTGGAGAGTTGAAATGAATCCGATGAAAATGGAGATCAAAATGTGGATGACTTTTTTGATTTCAGCAATTTTCAAGACTAGCAAGTATACAACAGTTGTACTATTAATTATACACGGAATGAACAGGGTTCCAGTATCAATAATAAAACTTCAAAAATACAGTTGGAGTTGCTAAGATATTTGGAGGACAAAATATGAATACATAATCTTAAAAAGGGTGTCAATAAAATACAACACATGCTTACCTTCGTCAGCACCAGTTGAAAGACTTTACTCTTTTGCAACTACGATCGATATTCCTAAAAGAAAAGCTTTAAGCGATGAACACTTTGAGGTATTGATACTTAACCCTTAAGTACCATGGCGGGGTCAAAATTGACCCCCCGCGTTTTTAATGCCAAGTTTCGCTACCGAAACATAGATTAAGCATTGCGCGCTTTCTGTGTCACGATGTGTCGAAGATTAGCAAATGTCTATCTCTAATTTTTTTTGGTAGAGTTTATCCCGTTTTCTTCTTTTTCTTCTTCAAGTTCCGCTCCTATCGAAGATTGAAAATCATTCTGGCAATTATAATTTTGTTGGTTACGCGCCGGAATAGTTCAATTAAACTGCATCTAAACCATTCACGGAGATTGCGTAGCCATGAGATGTTACGTCTTATTACGCTTCTTCTGCCTTTGATTTTACCCTGAATTATATTTCTTAGTAGTTCGTATTTTTCACCTCTCATGATGTTCCCCAAGTATTCCAATTTCCTGATTTTTATGGAGTTTAAAACTTCACATTGTTTTCGTAGTTGTTTGAGAACTTGTTCGTTTGTTTGGCGATCCATTCATGATATTTTCAAAATACGTCGGTAACACCACATTTCGAATGCTTTTATGTTTTTAATGTTGGATTTTTTAAGTGTCCAAGCTTCAACCCCATACGAAGCATTCTTATTTATCCGGAGCGATATATTGGTATCGCGATTACAAAAAAGTTTTCTCATTCTATTAAAAGTTGACCGTGCAATTTCAATGCAGCATCTTTCTTTTGTCTGATCAGTATCCTCTGTGATCCTTGCTCCAAGGTATTTGTACGAAGATATTTGTTCAATTTCTGTATTATCTAGTACTAGCTTAACTTTGATGTTTTGTGCTTTTGTAAATATCATAAACTTGGTTTTCTTCAAATTGGTTTTTAGTCCGTAATCGTTGCAATATATATTTAGTTGTTCAGCAAGGTGTTGCAGTTCTTCTAGTTTTTCTGCCAGAAGGACGGTGTCGTCAGCATACCTTATGTTATTAAGTGTCTCACCGTTTATTATAACTCCCTCACTGACCTCTGCACGCGTTAAATCTGAGATGGCTTCACTGTATATGGCGAATCTGGATATCTTCGGTCAGTTCATTTTCAACTTTCACTTTTGCTGTTTGGTTCTAATAGAGGTTACAGATGATTCTAATGTCTCTACTGTCTATGTTTTTATTTATTTAAATTTCTTTAAGCCGATTATGCTGCACTCTGTCAAATGCATTCTCAAAATCAATTAAATAGGCATATACTTGCTGATTTATATCTAAGTATCTCTGTAAAAGAACGCTTACCGCAAACAGTGCATCTCGTATTCCTAGTTTTTTCCTCGATCCCATTAGTGTATTACTTATGCCTTTATCTAATTTCCCTTGTATTCTATTGTAAATTAATTTTAAAAACAATTTCAAGACCTAACTCATTAAGGCTATGATGCGATGTTCATTGCACTCTTTTGCATTAGCCTTTTTGGAAAGCAGTTTGAATGTCGATTGAAGCCATTTTTTAGGTATAATACTTGTTCTATATATGGTTTTGAATGAATCCAAAAGAAGCTCAATAGATTCAGTATTCACAATTTTGAGTAATTCGATAGGAACTTCATCAGTCCCGGGAGATTTACTACCTTTAGCTTGTTTCATTGCATATTCAATTTCTTCTCGTATAATGTCAGGCTCAGTATCATCCTTAAATTCTTTTAGTGCTTCTGTTCTCTCTTTGTCTTTAGAAAGTTGTGCTATATATTGTGTCCATATCTGCATTTTTTGGTTTATATCTGTTATAACTGCACCACTTTCATCTCTTTGTTGTCTAGTTTGAAGTATTTTTCTCATTTCTGTTAATTCTCTAATTCTTTTATGCATGTTAAAAAGTCATATTTTTTCTCAATTTCTTCTAGTTTTCGGCACTGCTCATGTAACATTCTCTCCTTAGCTTCTCTTATTCTCCTTTTAATTAATCGATCAGTTTCATTATATTTAATTGGATTTTTTTGGAAGAATTTTCTTTTTTTCATTAATAGTATTATTTCTTCAGTCATCCAGTCTTTATGTTTTCTTTTCTTTGGTCTTAAGTTTTCTATTTTAATTATTGCTACTTTTATATTTTCCCATGTCTGATCAATGTTATACGTTTTTCTATTCAGTTCTTGGGCATTACGTAGATTTTCAGTAATAGTTTTTACAGTTTGTTCCTTTGTTTGCGGTTCCCTTAATCTCTTAATGTCAATTCTACTTTGTGTGGAATTTTTAACCAGTTTCAATCACCAGTTTTAATCGCCTTTTATCAACCTTTTAATTTATCTAGTAAGGTCTACAAATTTTTTATGACTTTTTTCAATTGACAATACAGCTTTATCATCCAGAGGTATGGTTGATCAGACTTTTTCTACGAAATCTTCGTTTCCTGTTGATGAAAAACAAATAAGATTATATCCTTATCTACTCTCTATATTTTTTGCCAATTTTATAAAATGCAATTGTGAATGTTTCACATATATACAGATAAAATATACAGTTTTTGATTATCTAATCAACCTATATAAGATGAGGTACATCTTATTTTAAAATCTATTTTAAATTTATTATTTGTGTACGAGTTTAAAATATTGAAAGTAAGTACTCTGGTCGATTGTTTTTTTTTTTTTTTTTTTTTTTTTAATTAACAAAATCGCATCAGCCAAATTGGCTGTTAGCGAACAATAATTTTTATTACATTTATAATATTAGTTTATATAGAATTTAAAATATTAAGTGAGGTTAAGAAACTTTTTATGTTTGAAATATTGCACTGTAAACCTAAAATGTCACTTAGTTTGTTGGGCATACTGTACAATATGCGCTTTGGCGTTAATGCTGGACATTTTTCTAATATATGTTTGACTGTTATTTTTTCGTCACAATTGTCACATCTTGGTTCTTGTTTGTTAGAGAACACGTAGCTATTCGTTAGTCGCGTATGACCCAGTCGAAATCGCGTTAATATTACCTGGTCTCTTCGACTTGTTGGTAATGTGGGCCAGGGTTTAATCAATTTTTTTACATCGCGTAGCTTTGCCGATGACACTTTCCACTTTTCATTCCACATATATCGCACTTTAAATTTAATCGTTGCTTTCACGTCCGCACTCGTAAATGTCTTCATTTAGTAGTACATTCCGCACTATCACTTCTTGCAGCTTCTTTTGCAGCGTTGTCTGCCTCTTCATTTCCTGGAATTCCAATATGGGATGGTATCCAAAATAATACAATATTTTTTCCATTCAGTTGAGCGGTGTGGATTTCTTCTTTTATCTTGATTACTAAAGGATTAGTTGGGTAGACATATTGGATTGACTGGACTGAACTTAAAGAGTCTGTGAGTATGATATAATTGGTAATATTGGATGCATTGACAGCAAGGGTAGCCTGGTATAGAGCATACAGTTCAGCAGAGTAAATGGAGTACTCTGAAGGGAGTTTATATTTATTTGTCGATGTTGGGGTTATGATTGCAGCACCAGTACCTTCATTTGATTTAGATGCATCTGTGTATATATGTGTATAGTCCTTGTAGTTGTGAAGCATATCGTTGAAAGCGGATTTGAATAACTGTGGGTTTATTGAATGTTTGTCGAAAGAAATGAGGCGGGTTAGGCACTGAGGATTCTTTATTTGCCATGGAGGAATTAAGGACAATTGGGAAGAAAAGCATTCTGGGAGCGTGTAGTTTAGTTGATTTAAATAGCTTCTAATCCTTGCGTAGAAGGGTTTGGCAGTTCTTGGCTTATTTATAAAGAGATTTGGAAACTTTTCTGTAAAACAATTGTTAATGGTAGGGTTTTTTGGGTTAGACCTGATTTTTGCGGCATATGCTACACTTAAATAAAGTCTTCTGTCTTCTAAGGACGGTTCACCAACTTCACAATAAAGACTTTCGATTGGTGTTGTGCGAAAAGCTCCAGATATAATGCGTAAAGATAGGTTGTGAAGACTGTCAAGGTTTTTTAGCAGTGTCTTAGTGGCTGTAGAATATACAGTAGATCCATAATCTAATTTTGATCTAATTAATGTTCTGTATAGCAATAAAAGTGTTTGGCGATCCGCACCCCATTCTTTATTGGCCAGAGTTTTAAGAAGATTTAATCGCTTGTGACAAGATAAGATCAAATTTGTTATATGAAGTTTCCAGCTTAGATTTTCTTCAAATGTCATGCCCAAGAATTTTATTGACGTTACACGTTTTAGGTCCTCATCACATAGTCTTAGGTTAGGGATGTTTGTGACATTTTTCTTAGAAAACAGGATGAAACGAGTTTTTTCAGTGGAAAAACAGAAACCTGTTTTTTGTGACCAGAGTTCTAAGTGTTTTATGAAGTTCTGTGTGTGATTAAATATGTTTTGTATATTTTTACCTTTGCAGAAAACTACAAGATCATCCGCGTAGACGCGTGCCTTTATAGGTGATTTTAGATTTATGAGAATATCATTCATTGCCACTATAAAGAGCGTAGGACTTATTACCGAGCCTTGAGGAATGCCATTTTCTGGATACATTATATCTGATGTTGTGTTGTTTGTCCTAACTCTGAAAGCTCTATTTTGAAGAAAGTTTTTAATAAAGAAGAAACAGTGACCTTGAATGTTCCAACGATGTAATTTTTTTAATATATAATCGTGCCAAGCTGTATCGAAAGCTCTTGATATGTCAAAGAAAACCGCTAGACATTTATTCCTTAGTGCGAATGCTTCAGAAATGTCACTTTCCAAATCTATGATATTATCTATGGTTGACCTTTGCTGTCTAAAACCACTTTGTTCTGGAATAATTAAATCTTGTCTCTCCAGGTGCCATCTTAGTCTATTATTAATAATTTTTTCTAGTAACTTACACATGGCGCATGTTAAAGCTATCGGTCGGTATGACTCGGAACTTGTTTTAATACTATTAGGTTTTTGTATAGGTATAACTGTGGATTCACGCCATTTTTCAGGAAATTTGTGCTGTAGCCAAATAATATTAAACAGATTTAAAAGTTGTTTGTGAGCGCTATCTGGAAGGTGTTTGATAAAAATACTAGGAATATCGTCCGGGAATATCGTCCTATTCGTTTGATTATAGAGGGCAAAATAAAAGGTAAAAAAAAAGGTAAAAGAGATGTAGGAAGAAGACGAACCTCCTGGCTACGAAATCTAAGGGAATGGTTTAGTCTGAGCTCTAGCCAACTATTTAGAGCTGCTGTAAGTAAAATAAGAATTGCCATGTTGATATCCAACCTTCGTTAGAAGATGGAACCTTAAGAAGAAGATCGTCCGGGCCAGCGCTAGTTTCTTTGAGATTTGATAATGCTTCTGTATACTCTAATTCAGAAATGGGTAAATTTAACGGTTCATCTGTAATAGGTATAACGCTAATTTTCTTATTTTCTTCTTGCTGTTTGTATTTAATGAAAGATTTTTTATAATTAATATTACTGGATCGGTTTTTGTATGTGTTAGCAAGGATTGTGGCAATCTCAGTGTTACTAGTAACTGCCTTTCCATTTACTTCGAGGCTTTTGATATTCTGATTACTATTCAATCCGGATATTCTTCGGACTTTGTTCCATACTTCAGTCATGGGAGTGTTTGCATTTAACGTTGATACATATTGAGTCCACGACTGGCGTTTGGCATTTCTAGTTGTCTTTTTGGCTATAACACGTTGTTTTCTGTATTCAATTTTATTCTCAACAGTTTTGTACCGCTTGTATTGGTTAAAAGCTCTTTTGCTAGATTCAACTGCTGCTTTGCATTCGTGATTCCACCATGGGACAGGATTGCGTTGTTTTATACATGTAGTCTTTCCTATTGCTTTTTCTGCTGCGTTTGTGATAATGGTAACAAGGTTTTTCAGTGTCTCGTCTATATTTGAGGTACTTTTAAGTGTGGTTATACTGCTATCGATTAAATTTGAAAAATGATTCCAGTTAGGGTTTTTTAAATTCCATTTTGGAGTAAAAGACTGTCCACATTGGTTCTTGTTATTATGAATCAAGAGTGGATAGTGATCACTGTTGTATAGGAAGTCGAGCCTATCCCAGGTGAGCTGTGGGGTCAGACCTGGTTCGCATATCGTAAGGTCTATACATGAAGATTCACCGTTTTGTATATTGAATCTAGTGGGTCTGCCGTCGTTTAAGACTGAAAGGTTGGACTGTTCAAATGTCTCTTCTAGTAGTCTTCCCCTAGCGTTTATAGTAGAAGAGCTCCATAAAAAGTTGTGGGCATTAAAATCGCCCAAAATAAGTCTGGGTTGGGGTATTTGTTGTAACAGCTCCGTTAATGCTTCTGAGTCGACTTGCGTTGATGAAGGTAGGTATAAGTTACAAACGTAGATATTTGGACTTGAGTTAAGTTTAATGCAAATTGCTTCTAGATTAGTTTGGAGAGAAATTACAGTGGATTCAATTGACTTTTTTACAAAAATAGCTACTCCGCCGCTGGCTTTTTCGTGGCTAGTTCGATTTTTGCAGTAACTTTTAAATTGTTTTAAAGCTTGTGTTTTTTCATTTTTGAAATTAGTTTCCTGAAGACAAATTATATCTGGATTGTATCTAGCCAGAATTATTTGAAGCATCGGAAGGTTATTGTAAAAACCGTTGATGTTCCATTGCAAAATTGAAGAGAAGCCCGTGTATAATAAATAAAAATTTAAACTTGGGATTGTTACAGAAGTTTATGCATCGATTCCTGAGATAACTCACTTTCAGTCTCTGATGTCTCACTATCCGAGTAGGTCATCTGTAAATGTATCAGTAGTTTCTTTTTTATTTTTGTACATCTAGATTTAATGGATCTTTGTTTAAAATAGGGGGAATATTGCTGTTAGCATTTTCACTAAAGCTTCTAAATCGTTAGTGTAGTTTTTTATGACGCTGACTGCATCCTGTGCACCATAAACATTTTCAAATAGATCGGATATTTGATTAAAATCAAGAATAAATGGAGGGTTTTGCTCTAAGATAAATGCCTTGGCCGGTTCCACGAGTATGTGAGTTGGCGTCTTTTCCTTACTTTTCTTTGGTTTTTTGGATGGAGCATCATTTGGTTTAACAAACGGGTCTAGACTTGGGTTTTCTGAATCAGCGTTTTGCGCTGGAGGAGGTGTGACTATTTCTTCTAAACTGCGTTTTGAGCTATTTTTGTAGGCTGGGTTGTATCTATATTGATGATTGGTTGTGAGGTTTGAGTTTTTGAGGGGTTTGTTGGAAGTATTTGATTAGGTGTGGATTGCGAAGATGTCTGGGAGTGAAGGTTCTGGTTATAATTTTCAGAAACTGATTCTTGGGTTATTTTACAATTTGCTGCGGTATGGCCTTGCCTTTTACATGAAAAACATACCAAGTAATCTTGTGACAAAAAAATCCTATAGTTGGTGTTATCATAATTTATTAATATGGATTCGGGTATTGAATCAAGTAGTGGTGAAATAAAAATTTGTCGTCTAAAACTATAAACGTGGCTGAATTCCGGCAAACCGGCACTTATCTTGAGAAATGACATGGGAGACATGGTTTTAAGGCCCAATTTTTCAATTTCTTGAGTTAGTAAAGCATGCGGAATGGTGGGACAAACGTTTGACAGAATTAGTCTTTCTGCTGGAGTGACTAGTTTGCGTGCTTGGACTTGTTGGTTATTAATTTCTATAAAACCTCCGTGATTATTCATAAAATGTTCAACAATGTTTTTGTTTGCTAGGTACATACACACTCTGTTGTTAGAAAGCCGTGAAGAAAATAGAATATTTTTGGGCTCGATCAACATTCCTAATGGAATCAGGTAATCTTGAAGTTTTAGGTTTTCCATGACTGGGAATACAATAGCTTGATCTTTGGTAGGGAATTGTTGTTCAATCACAGCAGAAGAATAAGTTTTAGTATTATTTTCCTTTTGGGAGCCTCTGTAGTCAGAAGTCCCGTCAGTTGGGTTTAGCATCTTTTCTTTATAATTTAAATTTAATTTAAATCTGAAATACGGACCTGTTTTAGGACAGGCAATTTTATCATGTCGTTATAGATAACGAATAAACTTGTTTAGAGTTTTTATATCAAGCCGACTTATGATAAATAAATACAGTAAATTCCTGTGAAATGACTCTGTTTTATATAATTTTAAAAAGTACTTACAGGATGGAAGAAAACGCACTTTTATACACTTATATTGATAAAATAAAAAAATTTTAATCAATAACTACTATCTTAAATAACTGTTTTTGTTTGGAGCTGACAAATTCGCACTAATTAGTATACCTGTCAGGACCGAACTGGTCGATTGCTTTGTTTTAACTAGAATAGAAAATAATAATGCTAACAACAATATTAGATAACTTACAAAAAATCTACAATATATGTCTTTTACGGCAAACCTTTGTACCTTGTTTTTATTTCATTTTTTTTTACTTTTAACTTTGTAAACTAAGTTACATGTAAATCTCGAAATTAGAGTTCCGAAGGTTCCTCGTATTAACGAAACCAAAATTCAGATTTTTGCTTTAATTTATACCTTCTATAAATTGCATAGCAATACAGAAAATGCTATGATGTGAAAGAGATATGGAAAATATAGAAGTAGCATTCCACTTAATACTCATAAAGAATAAACCGAAAAGAAAGAAAACATCTCTTACATCTTTTAGCATCGTCTGTTTAGCCCTGAAACTTATAAAAGGCAGAGATTATTTTTTAATTAAATCTACGAATTTACAATCTGCTATTACAAGCTATTAGCAAATGTGAGTATTGCAAGTACATGAGAGGAGAAATTATCTACTGATAACACTCCCAAGACTAACGCTAACAAATTAAATTAATGTAGGATTATTATTTGAAGCTAAAATTGAAATGAAAATTAAAATTTAAAATTGAAATTTGTGAATAAAGTCTATTGGCTAATGTCTCTTCAATCTGCGTCTGTGTACTGTACCATCAAGATGGTTGTAAATGGAATAATGAGGGATCTTGAACATCGTTCTGTCAGTGAAGTGGGTTTCCGATATGAGTAGAACGTCAATTTTGTTTTGTTCAAGAAAGTTGGTAGCGTCTGTGTTATGGTTGCCTAGGCCGTTGGCATTCCATTGTGAAATTGATAGTGATATAAGTTCCTTTACTGAATTTATTTATTACTATTGCAAAGCATGATTAAGATCACGCTATTTTGATCTTTTAGTTGTGAAAACATAGCTTTTAATTCGTTAAGGAGACTCTTCATCATCTCTCCAATGTCACTGTTTGTATTACTTACATGTGTTCCACTTGTTATTTGAGCGTAAGTTGCATGATTTTGGTTGTATGAGTTTGTATTATTATGGACAATATTTACATTTGTTCTACTTGTTGCTTTTGTTTAAGTCGCGTGATTTTGATGGCTTAAGTTCGGATTATTCTGTACTGTCTTTGTATTGACTCTTTATATACCATGCATCCTTTGTAATTTGCGGTGTGCTCCAGTGCAGAGAGCGCATATATCAGGTGTGACCCTAGGCTTTTTTACAATCTGCTGACATATGGTTGTATCCACATTTGACACAGTGATAAGATTTATTACAGTACGTCTTATAGCGGCTTCCCACAGTCGGCGATATTGCGGACGTAAGCGGACCAGCCCGCACCACGCACCGTGGGAAAGGTCTCGTTTGTGGTAGCACAGGCACGTCTGTGCTGGTCCGTCCTATCCATCTAGAGTCGGTAACATCAAAGGTGCAGTAACAGACGACAAGTGCAAGTCAGAAGTTTTTCAATCACTGACACGAGTAGTTGTTTGTAGTGTTGTCAAAGTTGTTTCGCAGTTTTTTTGCTAGAAAATCGAATGAACAAACAAAGTTATTTTTGATTTTTTAAATTTGTATCAAAATGAACCAAGTTTATGGAATTCCACGGCGCCAGAGCATAAGAACCGGAACGATGCATACGATATATACGGAACCGAATAAAAAATCAATTGAAGAATAGTACTAATTCGATTAAAGAATTAAAAAAGAAGAGAGATAATTTAATGTTGACATACAGAAGGCAATGATGTTTACAAGCCTGAGTGGCCTTTTTATGATATAATCAAACATTACTGTCACGGACCTACACAGACTGTCACGGACCTTAGGAAGAGCTCTGTCTGCGGTGCGTTGTCGTGCGTGCTGATCGGCTATCCGCGATGATCTGTAAAATCGCCGATCGTGGGAAGCCACTTTTAGAGTGTCCATACAATTAGCATCTGTTACACTGGACAATATTATAATTTTAATACGGTGGCTCAATAACTATTTTAGTGTGGTTTATAAATTAAATTTCATATATTTTTTTATTATTGAAGTTATACATCTATACGCACGGTCGGCGTTGGAAATTTGCATGAGAGTGAATCTGTGAAAACATTACATATGTAAGGTAATGAGTAAGAGAGAGACAGAAGATATATTTTCTCTCTCTTTCTCTCTCGAAAATAAAAATTTTCCTTTTGTATATATATATTATATATATATATATATATATATATTATATATATATATATATATATATATATATATATATTATATATATATATATATACAATATTATATATATATATATACAATATTATATATATATATATATATATATATATATATTATATATATATATATAATATTGTATATATATAATATTATATATGTAATATAATATGTATTATTATTATTATTTATGTGATATGTTTTGTATTATTTATACGTTTATAATTATTTTAGGCTTTTGTATTTCAAAATAATCACTGTTTGACCGAGAACTGTCAATTTTGAAATCCCTTAGTGTAATGTCTATAATTGCCTGATCTTTTACGTGTTTGGTTCATACGCTGGTGTTTGTGAGTTCGAATCCCAATATGAGTTTTTCTTTTTTGTTTTTGAAATATTTAAAAACGCCACGTTAATCTTATTAAATATATTATGTAATATATGCAAAAATGCTAAATTTTAAAATAAAAATTATTGGTTTTTTCTTTTTATCTTCGTAAAGTAAGTTATGTATATTGGCAGTTTTAAATACTCATTAATATTGCATTTTAATTAATATCGTATTATTATATTGAATTAGGTTGCATTGTATTTATTGTATTGTAATTTTTATATTAATAACAAAATAACAATGAATTTTACTGTAGAGTATGTGTAAAAAAATGTTTTTGCATTCAACTCCTTTTATAAATATATGAGAATAAAAATATATATTTTCATTATAATATTGATACAATCCTTCATTTACTATACTCCTATTACAGGTCAAATGTTTACATACAACAAACGATACACCATATACCTATATAACTAATTCCGTTTTTCTTTCTGCTCTCTCTTACCTATAGCATTACATATGTAATGATTGTGCAGATTGACCCCCATATAAATTTTTAACGGCGAACTCGTGTATGGCAGTATAACTTCTACCGGCAGTACCACTGGACTGCCTTACCCGTTTTTTTTATTAGGTTCTATATCGACGTAGAACATCATTAGAGGGTCGTTACTTATTCTGTGTTTTATATTTACAATATTGCGTACTAAATGCCCATGTTTTTCTATTTCACTTCTTATTATATTATTGGGCACTGTATTATAACTCTGTATGTTCTATCCTCTTTCACCTGTACAATAGTATGTCTCTGTTTTTGTTACTTCCGATTGGTTATTAACCATTTTATTGTGTTTAATAACACCATATATGGTGAGGGTTTAGAGGTTGCTGGAGTTTCTTTGGTATTTTCTATACTATTAGTGTTATCGTATTGGTTTTTATTTTGTACAATCTGAAATTTATTGCTAGTTACTACCGTGTCCTCATTTTGTGTTGGTGTCGCAGGAATAATTTTACGTTTTTTGTTACTCTGTTGTATAGTTTGCTATTCGTCGATGTCTGATACTTCAATGTCGCTGATTTCTCCTGAAGATTCTTCACTATGTAGTGTTATCCCAATAGAATCGAAAGCTTTATTTTGAGGTGTAGATAATGTGGAATTTATTTTAGGATTGTATTGACAGTTTGAGGAAGATTGTCATAATATTTGGTTAGGAACATAATATATTGTTATTGGTTGGTTGTTTAAAATTTGTGTTGAATTTAGTTGTAAGTTTTGTGGAAAATGGACATTTATGCATTTTGAATTTGCTGTTGCTCATATTGAATATTTATAGATTGACTGATAACAGTAGCAGTATAAAACGGAACACTCACCGATAAATCTGGTAGAACACTCATTTTAACTGTTAAAACTATATATTTTAATTTTGAAATGGTTTGTAAATAGCATATCCACTTGATACACGATAATGACGGTAAGAACGAGGCCGGAGCCCGTTTTTAATCACCACTATTCGCTCCGTGCGTGAGCATGGTAGGGGTACATTGAAACGATGCCAGCGTGCGTAGCGGCGAAATATGACAAAATTGGAATATTGGACAAAATATTTTTACGCATAAGTTTTATCAAAAATGTGTGCAAATACATGTTGCGTATTTAATTCTGCTAATAATAGCAAAAACAGTGAGTGTAGTTTTTATGGGTTCCCAAAGATTACATATAAATTAGAGAAAAGAAAAAGATGAATTCGTGCTATTAATATGAAAAAGTAAATATCACATAACTTCATTTTTATGCAATTGATATAGGAACAATTTAAATAATTTACCTTGAATGATATTTCATAAGGCTTCAATCTAACTGCAGATGACTTTAGCTTTTATATCATAACTTTTACTATTATTGTTTTTAATTATATGCTCTTTTGCGTGAAAAACTTGATTTGCCAGTATTAG